GTATCCTCCTACCTCCTCTAGTGCTACCTACAGCTATGGCGCCCAGCGCTGAAGACTACTGCTAGAGCGCCCAGCGCTGAAGACTACTGCTAACGCTGCCTCCGGCAGCGCTCCTGAAGACTACCACCGAATCCTGAAGACTACAAGTGACAACTGATACTTCCCCTTGCCTGTAGGGCGGGCCAGTCTTATATAGTGCTGGCCCGTTCAGGAGGCTGCTCTTGCCAATGCCCAAACGTGCTAGACCCTGAGAAAGCTTCCGGGAAGTTTCCAGGTAGCTTCTGGCTGAAGCCTGAGGAAGCTTCCGGAAACTTCCCAGGTAGCTTCTGCCTAAAGCCTGAGGGCCTGTAGGCCCTTGTTTTTAGGCTGTTAGGCTGAAATGCCACGGGGCCTGTAAGCCCTGGATTTCAGGCTTTCAGCCTGAAACAGACACGGGGCCTGTAAGCCCTGGATTCCAGGCTTTCGGCCTGAAATAGACACGGGGCCTGTAAGCCCTGGATTTCAGGCTTTCGACTTGAAATAGACACGGGGCCTATAAGCCCTGGATTTGAGAATATGTTGTTCGTTAAAATAGTACATTATTCTGTGTACTATTTAGAAACCAATTCGTTAAGAAATATAATATAGCCCCCAGTATATCGTTAGTGACTTCCAACACACCACATAGACGGGGTCATGCGTCGCTACCCCTGCGTATACCCTTTCAATGCCATGTAATTGTGCAGAAGGGGCCCAATGCATAGTACTTCCTTGGCATTGAATATCGGCCAGACAACTGGATTTTGTTTTAGATGAAAAGTGCAGCTGCAGCAGATGTATCCCTCTCTTTTGTGTCGTCGTGTCGTGTCATACATGAATTTAAAGGGGCAATGGAATATGTATCAGATGCTCTCCCTGAGGCTCTCTTTTGTGCCGTCGTGCCGTGTGACAGTCATGCAATGCCATGAAAGGGGCAGTGGAATATGTATCGGATGTATCCAATACAATGTCATATTAATATGCATTGGATACATCCGATACATATTCCACTGCCCCTTTCATGCATGATAAGACACGACGGCGAGAGAGAGAAAGAGAGAGAGAGAGAGAGAGAGAGAGAGAGAGAGAGAGACGTTAAACTTTCCCAAGAGTTTAATATTATGTACTTTGTTGCGGATACATCCGCCGCATATTCCTTCCTGTACGACAATACACAACAGTTACTGCATAAAAGAAGGATAGAGAGATGTGTTCAGTTAATTCACAACTCAGGCACCACATACAGATGTCTCATCCACATCTGCAACGACACGCTGACTGGAGAGAGCAGATTCACAAAAGAGCGCGTTTCCCTGAAGTTTGTGTAGTTTGTGCCAGATACATCCGCAACATCTTCCGCTTTCCCTGTCATATATGACACGCATAATGGCAAGAGAGAAAGAAAGAGACGCGATCGATGGTTTCACAAATAAAAAACCCCATATAACTCTCTCTCTCTCTCTCTCTCTCTCTCTCTCTCTCTCTCTCTCTCTCTCTCGCTTGTGCCATTGTGGCTTGTCATGCAAGGAATGGAATACGTACACTAGTATGATCTTCTGTGAAACTTTAGTGAAACGTGCTCTTGTGTGAGTCTCTCGTGCTGTTGTGTCCTGTCATACACGAAAAGGGAAGAGCGCGTTTCCCTGAAGTTGTATTTTGTGTCGGATACATCCGGAACATATTCCGCTTCCCCTGTCATATATGACACGCATAATGGCAAGAAAGAAAGAAAGAGACGTGATTGATGGTTTCACAAATCAAAAACCCCATATAACTCTCTCTCTCTCTCTCTCTCGCTCGTGCCATTGTGGAATACGTACACTAGTATGATCTTCTGTGAAACTTTAGTGAAACGTGCTCTTGTGTGTCTCTCGTGCTGTTGTGTCCTGTCATACACGAAAGGGGAAGTTGTATCCTGTCATACACGAATGGGGAAGAGTGCATCAACAAGCAGCCTGGAGAGAGCAAACTCACAGAAAAGGAAGTTTCCCCAAAGAGAGAGAGAGAGAGAGAGAGAGAGAGAGAGAGAGAGAGAGAGAGAGAAAAAAAGAAGGAGTGCTCTGTCCAGACTACTATTCACGGGAGAGAGAAGAGAGAGAGAGAGAATTACGGTTGAAGAGA